TATTCTCGAATCCTCACGGTACTTCAGAGAGATGGTGGTCTCTCTCTCGATAAAACAATTTTCTCTTTCTTTATTATTTTAATTATTTAGTATCCAGACTATTAAAATTTGTTAGATTTAAAACAAAGCTCAACATATCGATCTAAAAATCTATATACGTGTAACGATATGTAGGAATTCAAAATGCGAATATATTCTTCCCATTATTTTATTGAACACAACCAAGAGGCTCAATTTATACAGATTTTTCGAAATTTCTAAATGCGGCGTTAGTAAATTCACGTTATCGCCACGAAAAAAAACATCAGTTACTTGGGGTGCAACTTTGCGCAGTTAAACTCGGGCAAAGAATCGTCCGAGCAGGTGCAAAGGATTCGAGCGGACAGTTTTATCTCGAAAATAGAACAGCAAAAGATGGAACGCGCCTTGATGACTCAGGCTAGGTTCCATTCTGAGAAAAGCGAAACCTCGGGAGCGAAGCGGGGTTTCGCTCTCGTATAGAAATTAGTGATAATTATATAGGACTAGCACCTGCATGCAGGTGCAAAAACTCGAGGAACGCTTGTTGCTGTCATAATGCTCGTGCTCTCTTGGACGAGCAGCCATGAGTCATTGTCGAAGAAGCGAGAGAAACATCCACCCGAACCGGATATACCTTCGTATCTCGGTTAGTCGTCGATGACAAGCTAAAGCGGAAGACGAGTCATCCCAGAAGATACAGAATGTATTTCGTGGCAGAAATTGACTTTAGTGAGTGTTTAAAAAGGTAAAAAAATCTCTCAGCCTTCATACGTACTGTATCTATAAATATATTCTAATTAATATATATTTCAATTATTATATTTCTATCTAATTAATAGACTTCAAAATATTTTTTATATACTTTATTTTATACTTTATTTTATATACTTTATTTCTAAATTCTTTTTAGAAAATTTTAATTTAATTTAGAAGCAAAACTTCCAACGTAAATGAAGATCAATTCTGTGTGAGATGGAAATTGGATTTTCTAAGTTTACGCAGTAACGCACGAAGATACTTGCAACTTTGTCGAAGTTGGCAGAACTTATATATGCGTTAAACACGTATCGTGCATAATGTATGCATTTAAAATAAATGGTAACCGGCTCGACTTCGCGAGTTTTTCTAGCGAGATAATACATTTTCTAGTTCACTTTACATGTTGCACTTAGTAGTCTGCTTTAAAAAAAAACTTCACGAGAGGAATTAACATTACTAACGGGTACTACCAGTTCGCCAGTTAATTTTGTTCCGTCAGAATAACATTCTCTCATAAATATTATCTGGAATATTAGAAATTATTTGATAACTAAAAGAATGACAAAGTTATCTACGCAAAAAAAACGTGAACCTATATAACTCTACGTATGCATGAACTGATAATGTGGTCGTAAATTATCTCAACTTAAGATAATTTTAAATGTAATGTTAACATAAGAAATTTAAATTTAATATAAGAAAATATGTATTGTATAGAAAAAACGATTAGCATTATGTAAATTTTAATACATCTAAAAAGTTTTCCAACGTAAGTAAGGATTATTTTATATCTATTACTATTTTCTTCAAAATCACTTTTTTAGAAAAACTTGACACCTTAATCGTAACAAATTAACCTTAAACGTAACAAAATTAACCAAAATCTCTATATTTTAAATGTTATCAACGTATATATACAGTAAACTATAATAAGTTATCATTTTAACATATTACCTGATATAATAATGATAATTATCGTATATTTGTATTAATACAGCATTTTATATGCAAATGCAAAAAAGATTAATCGTGATACTAAAATATACACAAAATTCTGGCAAATTTCGACTTACCCTTCAGCTGCGTGGTCTCGATCGCGAACATGTTGAGCGCCAAGAGCTGCAATAAACGAGTACCAGGGAGTGGTAGTGGTGAATGCTGCAATAAGGCTCTGAATTCCTTTAGCATTTGTACACCAGCTTCTTGAAAAGTCTCCATTCTGAAAAAAAAATAAAATCTTGTTTATATGATGTCAAGAGATAGTCGATTAAATTCAGACTATCTTATTTGATTTTTATGTTTTAGGAAATGAAGAGAAGTATATATATTGACTTGTCAACTTATAATGTTGCAAATAATAAGGGACCAAATGGCGATAATTTTAGACAATTAATAAACAACTTTTTCTCGCTTTAAGCGATACAAGATTTACGTGTAATTACTTATAGTACAAAGTAATAGTTCAAATTTGATAAAATTTAAATCACAACATTTGTTAAAATCTTACATATTTCGACTTAATTTACGATAATTAAAATCTAGAAACCCAATATCTCTAGAACCACGACGCAAAATTTACAGGTACACTCCTACTGTAAAACCAATAAGTTTCCATCAACGCATCAAGACAGCTCTTGAGTGATAGGTAATTGAAAATACTATCCATTTTCCACCACTTTCATAAACTACATGCACAATGGGGACGATTAACGGCACGGAGAACGCTTCTCACGTGAGTATCCACATAAACATCTCTTCAATCGTTTCATCTCAAAGTAATCGAGTTTAGATTGAAATCGGTGAATTTGCGACCCACGTCGGCGGCTAATCCGAGACCGGTGATAAAAGAGGACGAAGGTTGGTCACGAGGTCTACAGCCGCCGAGGGGGCATTCTCATAAACACGGCAACGAGAGATCTCGCATAGCGGACGCTATCTTTCCCACAGCCTCTTTCGCGTAGCGTACCGTATCGTCTACATATATTTATATATATCGTATATGTATACACACAATGTATTAAATCTGTGTACATCTCACTTGATTCCTTATCCGCGACGCGCCACGCCGCGATGCGTTTGTAATTTGGAGTATTCGTAACGCAATCTCCTTTCAATCTTTCCAATCCTTCCTCTTATACATAACTGTTACCCCATCTATAATTTTTGTGTCTTAAACATAGAAATTCCAAAATATGAAAAATACCAGTTATCAATTTTTAATGTTTCCAATTTTTAACTTTAAAAGAAAAAAATCCAAAATTTTCCAATAAAATATCGAAATTTTAGATGAGAATGGTTTATGGTAATTTTTATCATTTTGATCAAGAACAATTTACATATTGTTTATATTAATTTTTTTAGCATGCCATGAATTCGCTTTTATACTTGAAGTACCAAGATTACCATTTTGCGTCGAATACAATGAGAAATACGATCAATATGAGATTCCAATAACGATTCACTGTTATCTAGTTATATTCGCTCATATATTTATTACAATCGCAGTTAACTTCTTACTTCTTGACTTTTGTGAACGTTGCACTTTGATCTACCAAGCCTGTGAGATGTTCATAGCCATTGGGTATATCGAGATCAAAATTGACAATTAAAACTTTAAACATTAAAAAATATTATTTCTTACACTAATATTACGATGCATTTTTAAATACCATTTAGAAAGTAACAACTAACAAAAATAATTATGATAATTTTAACCAATAAAAAGTTTTTGTGAAATAGTTGTAAATAGAAAAACTGTTCACAGGCAACTTAAAAATCTTACATAAAAAATTAAATTCGTATTCCTTAAAGGTAAATTTGATGAATTTAATGCGAGAGATACCCTGCCTTATATTTGGCTATCTACATTGCACATGTCATCTATACCTTTTCTAAAAATAAACAGAATGATCGATACATTCATCAAATACTGTGCTCAAAGAACAATTTGATGAATAATAAATAGTATCATTATGACAAAGCAAAACTGACATAATTTTCATAAGAAAACAAAGGAATCAATATTGTCAACGCAAGAGGAAAAGGGTTTACAGTTACCAATAATTGCCCACTTAGTTGCAAGTGTAATGCTTTGGCTGCGTCAGAAGGAATCGATAACTAAGTTTCTGTAATTTACTGCATGAGAAACTACAAGAAATTGCCGATAGCTTGACGTTAGTATCCTACAAAATGACAGATGAGAAAGACGTTTGGAAAAGTCGGTATTATCGTATTCCTAGAACATATTTGATTCTATCGGGTTTATGGCCGTATCGCAGACTTTGCGACAGATATATACACTTTATACCGACATTTATACTCTGTTTTAGTATTCTGATACCACAGGTAAATTTCTAACTTTACGCTCAAGAGAAAGAAATTGACTAATTAAATTATTTATGTCATACAATGAATTATAAAATTTCTTTCTTCTAATAATAAAAGCTTGAATATATTAATATGCTGTACAATACTAATTAGAATATAGTTACTATACGTACTAATAGCCTCAATAAATGTCGATGACGTAATGGAGAGTCTACCATCAGCGTTAATCAGCTTGGTATTCAGTTATAAAGTGGCGACTATAATGTTTAATAATAAAAAAGTAATAATTTTTACGTATTCAATATTTTCGTCGTGTAATCAGCTGTCCCTACTGTAAAGCACTAATGCGATAAAAAGTATAAAAGCATTGTTTATATAGGTAAAATATTGCCTCAAAAGAATAGAAAAGGATTGGCAATCGTTAAATACAGATGTAGAAAAGACTATTTTGCAACACCATTCCGAATATGGACAATATTTAGCAACGTCTTATGCAAGTGCGTGATGTGTAGATGTATCGTTTCAAACGTATGCACGCGTTAATTTATATAATAACATTTCTTAAATTATCATAAATTTTTGAATTTTTTAATCATTTATTTTAAATCTCAAGATCTGTATGACATCTGTATATTTATCATAAAAGAAAATATTTTTGTTAATTGAAAACGCTTTTCAACCCTAAAGAAATGAAAAGAAATGAAATGAAAAGATGAAAAGAACTTATTTAATGTATATAAAGAATTTATAAAATAAGTATATCATTTTTTTCTAGTCTTCATGCATATAGTGCAAGTTTGTTTCTTATTAAAACCAATCGCTCTGACGTTGTTAGAAAACAATATCACAAATTCTACAAAATCTATATCAAAACTGCCATTTCTTGTGGAGTACGGAGTGGATATAGATCAATATTTTTATCTAATAACGATTCACTGTTATCTAGCTGTATTCGCTCATGTATTTAGTACAATCGCAGTCGATACCTTATATTACACTTAATTCAACATGCCTGCGGATGTTCTCAATCACTGGTAAGATATCAGGATTAAGAGACAAATACAAGTTAATAAAATAAAAACTAAAATATTATTTTTTTCACCAATCTTTTGATGCGTTTACAGACATATATTGGAAGAAATTGGTAAAACTAATGACACTAATTTTCATTTGAAACTAAACAAGATAACAGACAACGATTACAAGAAAGCATTAAATTGCTTACGTAGACATTTGCGAGTAATAAAGTACGTTAATAAAAATATTTTGAACATCTGTTAAAAATCATATCTGTTTTATCAATATTTTTATATCATAATCAGAATTCGCGATTTTGTAGATTTGCGGAATTAATCGAATCAACATTTTCAAATGTATTTCTGATCAGCATTAATATTAATATGATTTGTGGAAGTATATGCGGTATAAAAGTATGTATTATTCCCTCTATATTTTAAAATAACCAATAAATAACTAAGAATTTTTTAATTTGTTTATAATTAACATCACGCAAAAATAATAGTTATATCTTCAATGACAAACTCATTATTTTCGGAATATCGGGTTCACAGCAACAACTAATTCAAAAATTAGAAATAATATAGAAATTTCTGGAAAGAAATTAAATTTGTGTTCCAGATAATACTGAATTTGGGAAATGCTGAAGATATAACAGCACCTTTGGCAATCTATGTAGCGCAACTTGTTCATATTTTTCTACAATTTTGGCAAGCTCAGTTTTTGTTAGATTACAGCACTGTTCCATGCGAATCTATGTAAGAATATAAAATTTTTTAATATAATTTTAATATTTAATTAAATATGGTTGCAGAGAGAATGCCATAGCTTTGCATTATAGTTGCAGAGGAAACTGGTATTTTACTTCAGAAAGATGCCGCAAACTCTTTCTTTTAATTATGAGTAGAACTATGTCACCATGCAAAATAACAGCTGGTAAAATTATAATATTATCAATTGAAAACTTTGCTACAGTAAGTAAAATTGTATATATACGTTTACACTATTAAAGCATAAATTTAAAAACCGCATAAATTTTAAAATTATCTAGTCCGGAATTATGTATTTTCAAATTTTTAAATTTAAATTACAAAGTTTATATACATACATACATACATATATACACACATATCATACATACAATAATGTTGAATGTCATAGATATAATAATGTTGAATTTTTATTTCTTAAAGATTTTGAAAACCTCGATGTCTTGGTTTACAATGTTACGTTCCTTCCAACAATAATGCTACGAAAAAAACTATAATTATATTATTAACAACATTTTCGTGTAATAAAGGTTTTTAATTAATAATATATTCGTGTAATAAAGATGTCCTAAAAAACGTTTTTTCTTATTCGGACTTCTATATCATAATATAATTAACTATATTTGTTACTTTATGTAATTATCTAGGCCATATTAATACGAAAATTCAAAAAACTATATTTTATCATAATATATTGTTTAAACACTTTCTAAATCAAATTTCATTTAAATCTGAGCAACCTGCGAATTTTAATAATTCTTAAAATTCTATTATATATATTACCAATATTTTGTCATCACATTCGTTTGTTATCCATCTGCTATTCGTCTTCCATTTATTTCTGATTATTCTGTTAAAAAGGAACCTAAGATGCTATTTTAAAAAATAAGATGAAACGTTCCATGTATTAATTATAATTTCATGTTCAAAAATAATTTAGTAGATAATGTACCGTATTATTGCGGGAAAAGAAAAACTGATACTAACTTCAAAGAGCAATTATAAAGAAACCGACTTACGAACGTAAAAAAAAGAGTCTACAGTCACAAGTGTAACATTACTCTGACTGCGTCAAAAGGAATCAGTAAGTGTCTGTAATTTATCGCGCGACAAACCACAAAGAATCGCTGACAATTTAATGTTAGTCTCTCATAAAATGACAGATGAGAAAGATATATGGAAAAGTCGGTATTATCTTATCACTAGAACGTATATGATTCTAACGGGTTTATGGCCCTATTATAGACTTCGCAATAGATATATATGCTTTATACTGACATTTATATCGGGTATCAGTATTCTTATACCACAGGTAAATTTTTAACTTTACGCTCAAGAGAAAAAATTCACTAATTAAGTTATTTATGTCATACAATGAATTAGTTATAAAATTTCTTTCTTCTAATAATAAAAACTTGAATATATTAATATGCTACACAATACTAATTAGAATATAGTTAATGTACGTACTAGCCGCAACGAATATGAATGACATAATGGAGAGTGTACCATCAGTGATACTCAGCATAATATTCAGTTGGAAAGTGGTGATTATAATGTTTGATATCAAAAAAGTAAATAATAATTTTTTATATTCAATATTTTTGTATTTATGTAATGAGCAGTTTCTTCTGTAAATCGTTAACGTAATAAAATATAAAAACATTATTTATAGGTAAAATATTGCCTCCAAAGCATAGAAAAAGATTGGCAATTGTTAAATACAAATACAGAAAGAACTATTTTGCAACGCCACGCTGAATATGGGCAATTTTTAGCGACGGCTTATGCAAGTGTGTGATGTCTACCGTTTCAAATATATACATGCATTAATTTATATAATAACATTTCTTATGTTCATAAATAACATTTTAATTTTTTTAATCATTTATTTTAAATATTAAGATTTATATATGATAAGATTCATATAATGTATATGTATTGTAAAAAAATGTTTTTATTCATTTGAAACAAATGATCTTTAACTCAATAAGAATTTTAAGAAGCAATGAGAATGCTTTTATAAAAAGTATTTATTGATAAAGCAAATATATAGTTTTTTTTCTAGTTTTCGTGCACGTGATGCAAATATGTTACATATTAAAACCAATCATTCCGAGGTTGTTAGACAACGATATTACGAATTCTACGAAACCTATACCAAAACTGGTATATCCCGTCGAGTATGGTGTGGACATAGACCAATATTTTTATCCAATATCGATTCACTGTTATTTAGCTCTATTCGCTCATTCATTTGGTACAATTGCAGTCGATATCTTATATTGTATTTTGATTCAGCATGCTTGCGGGATGTTCACGATCATTGAGTAAAAATATCAAAATAATTTAAAGAGGAATAATTACTAACAAATGAAAGCTAAAAATATTATTTTTTGATGCATTGATCCAACATTTTGATGCATTTACAGACACATACTAGAAGAAGTTGGTAAAGATAATAACGCGAATTTTCAATTTAAATTAAATAAAACAACAGATATTGATTATAAGAAAGCATTGAATTGCTTACGTAAACATCTGCAAGTAATCAAGTGCGTTAATTAAAATGTTGTATCTATAGATATTTGTTAAAAATCACATCTACTTTATCAATATTTTTATATCATTCTTAATCAAGATCCACGATTTTGTAGATTTGTGGAATCAATCGAATCTGTATTCACAAAAGTATTCCTGATCAGCGTTAACTTGAATGTAATTTGTGGAAGTATAAGCGGTATACAGGTATGCATCAACCTTTTTAATTAGTAAATAAAGAGAATTTTAAATTTAATTATAATTAACATCACGCAAAAATAATAATTGTATCTTCAATAACAACGGATTATTTTGGGAATAATTTAAAATTTTTTAGAAAGAAATTAGATTTATCATAATTCTAGATAATATTCTAGGTAATATTGAATTTAGACAATCCTGGAACTATATTAACACCTTTGGCTCTCTATACTGGGCAACTCGGTCATCTTTTTATACAATTCTGGCAAGCTCAGTTTATATTAGATTACAGTACTATTCCATGGGAATCTATGTAAGAATGCAAATTTTCAGTCTTATAATTCTAGTATTTATACATAGTTACAAATAGAGAGAGCGCTTTCTAAACTACAAATATACACGCGAATTATTATTATATCTTTCTTCGATATTCAGTGACAAAAAAACTGAATAACTCCTGTAAATTTATCTCTTGTTGAAAAGTTTCTAGAATGAGATAAACTATGTTCCGCAGAAAAAGCACTTTTGCTACTGTTGTAAAATTCTTTAATATGATTAATATGATTATATATTTAGGCTCAGTAAAGAAATAAGGCCAAAAATTAATCATATAAAAGAATCTTACAATTGCAAAGCTGTTTTCTTCTGCTGAATGCCTTGCATTATAGTTGCAGAGGATACTGGTATTATACTTCGAAGAGATGTCGCAAACTCTTTTTCTTAATTATGAGTAGAACTATGTCACCATGCAAAATAACGGCTGGTAAAATTATAATTTTATCAATTGAAAACTTTGCTACAGTAAGTAAAATTACATATATATGTTTACACTATTAAAGCATAAATTTTAAAAACCGCTATTATCTAATCACATTAGAATTATTTATGTATTTTCAAATTTTTAAATTTAAATTACAAGGTTTATATACAGGGTGTCTCAAAACTATCGCATTTTCTTTTAAGAGCAAATTCTTTGGAACATTCTAAGACGAAAATCCTAATACGAAAATGTCGAGACTATAATAGTTTTTAAATTATTGACGATTAAAGTTCACTAATCACACTCTGTGATTAATAAAGATTAATCGCCAATAATTTACAAACTATTATAGCCTCAACATTTTCGTATTAGAACTTTCGTCTTAGAATGTTCCAAAAAAATTCTGCTCTTAAAAGAAAATGCAGTGGTTTGAGACACCCTGTACATACACACACACACACACACACAAAATAATATTGAATTTTTATTTCCTGAAGATTTTAAAAACCTCGATGTCTTGGTTTACAATGTTACGTTCCTTTCAACAATGATGCTACGAAAGAAACTGTAATTATAATGTTAGCAACATTTTCGTATAATAAAAGTGTTCAATTAACAATATGTATAATTAATAATACATTCGTGTAATAAAGACGTACTATAAAACTTTTTTCTCTTATTTAGACTTCTATAATATAATTTATAATATAATTAACTATATTTATACTTTATGTAATTTTTTTTTAATTATCTACATTAAGCCATATTAATTCGAAAATTCAAGAAATTATATTTTATCATAATATGTTGAAATACCTTCTAAATCAAATTTCATGAAAATCTGAGCAACCTGCGAATTTTAATAATTCTTAAAATTCTGTTATATATATTACCAATATTTTATGTCACCACATTCGTTTGCTATCCATCTGCTATTCGTCTTCCATTTATTTTTGACTGTTCCGTTAAGAAGTAGCATAAGATTCTATTTTGAAAAGCAAGATAAAAATAAAGTGTTCCATGTATTCTTTACAAATCTCATGCTCGAAAATAATTTAGTAGATAATGTACAGTACTATTACGGAAAAAACAAGACTGATATCAATTTCAAAGAGCAATTACAAAGAAACTGACTTACAAACGTAAAAGAAAAAGGGTCTACAATCACAAATGATTGCGCACTTAATTACAAGTGTAACGTTACTTTGACTGCGTCAGAAGGAATCAGTAAGTGTCTGTAATTTACCGCGCGACAAACCACAAGGAATCGCTGATAACTTGATGTTAGTCTCTTACAAAATGACAGATGAGAAAGGCATTTGGAAAAGTCAGTATTATCTTATCCCTAAAACGTATATGATTCTAACGGGTTTATAACCCTATTATAGACTTCGCAACAGATATATATGCTTTATACTGACATTTATATCGGATACCAGTATTCTTATACCACAGGTAAATTTCTAACTTTACGCTCAAGAGAAAAAATTCACTAATTAAGTTATTTATGTGATACAATGAATTAGTTATAAAATTTCTTTCTTCTAATAATAAAAACTTGAATATATTAATATACTACACAATACTAATTAGAATATAGTTAATGTACGGACTAGCCGCAACGAATATGAATGACATAATGGAGAATGTACCATCAGTGATACTCAGCATAATATTCAGTTGAAAAGTGTTGATTATAATGTTTGATACCAAAAAAGTAAATAATAACTTTTTATATTCAATAATTTTGTTATGTAATGAGCAGTTTCTTCTGTAAATCGTTAACGTAATAAAATATAAAAGCATTATTTATAGGTAAAATATTGCCTCCAAAGAATAGAAAAAGATTGGCAATTGTTACAGATATAAAAAGAATTATTTTGCAATGTCACGCAGAATATGGACAATATTTAATGACATCTTATGCAAGTATATGATAAAAAAATATGTAGATGTCTACTTTTTCAAATATATGCATTAATTTATATAATAACGTTTCTTGTATTTTCATAAATAAAATTTTTGAATTTTTTATTTATTTTAAATCTTAAAATTTATATAATGTATATTTATTATAAAATATTTCTGTTCATTCGAAACAAATAATTTTTAACTCAATAAAAATTTTAAAAAGCAATGAAAATGCTTCTATAAAAAGTATTTATTGAGCTAGTATAAAGCTAGTATAAATTTTTTTTTTGTAGTTTTCATGCACGTGGTGCAAATTTGTTACTTGCTAAAACCAATCATTCCGATGTTGTTACAAAACGATATCACGAATTCTACAAAAACAATATCAAAACTGCTATATCTTGTCGAGTATGGCATGGACATTGACCAATACTTTTATCCAATAACGATTCATTGTTGTCTAGCCCTATTTACACATATATTTACTTCAATTGCAGTTGATATTAAAATATCAGGATGATATTTACCCAATGATTGAAAACATTTCACAAGCATGTTGAATCGGAATATAATATAAAGTATTGATATTGTTTTTGTAGAATTCGTGATCTAAAGACGAATAAATAATAACGAATAAAAAGCTAAAAATATTATTTTTTGCAGCGACATTTTGCATTTACAGATACATACTAGAAGAAGTTGGTAAAAATAATGACGCGAATTTTCAATTGAAGTTAAATAAAACAGATACTGATTACAAGAAAGCATTGAATTGCTTACGTAAACATTTGCAAGTAATAAAGTGCGTTAATAAAAATGTAGTAACTATAGATATCTGTTAAAAATCACATCTGCTTTATCGATACTTTTATATCATTCTTAATCAAGATTCGCGATTTTATAGATTTGCGGAATCAATTAATTCTATATTTACAAAAATATTCCTAATCAGCGTTAACTTGAATATAATTTGTGGAAGTATAAGTGATATACAGGTATGCATCACCTTTTTTAGCATAATCAGTAAATAAATAAAGAAAATTTTAAATTTGATTATAATTACATCACACAAAAATAATAACTGTATCTTCAATGACAAACGAATTATTTTCGGAATAATTTAAAAATTTTTGGAAAGAAATTAAATTTATGTTCTAGATAATATTGAATTTAGACAATCCTGGAATTATATTAACACCTTTGGCTCTCAATACTGCGCAACTCCATCTTTCATGATCATCTTTTTATATAATTCTGGCAAGCTCAGATTACAGTACTGTTAGATTACAGTACTGTTCCATGGGAATCTATGTAAAAATGCAAATTTTCAGTCTTATAATTCTGATATTTAGTTATATATGCAGAGGAAACTGGTATTATATTTCGGAGAAATGTCGCAAACTCTTTCTCTTAATTATGAGTAGAACTATGTCACCATGCAAAATAACAGCTGGTAAAATTATAATTTTATCAATTGAAAACTTTGCTGCAGTAAATAAAAATATTTACTTTTACATCATCAAATCATAAATTTTAAAAGCCATATCACTATATATCATGTAGTTACTGATTATTTATGCATCTTTCAAATCTTCAAATTTAAATTATAAATTCACCTAGTAATATTGAATTATTATTTTCTAAAGATTCTAAAAGCATCAATGTCTTGATTTGCAATGCTATGTTCCTTCCAATAACGACGTTGTAGAAGAGACTATATACGTTTAAAATTAACAATATTATAGTATAGTATATACATGTTATTAGTCTTATAAAAATGTATATAAAAACTCTTTTTCTTTTTCTTCAGATTTCTATGTTATAATAAAATAAATTAACGCTACATTAATCTGAAAATTCAGAAAAACCTACATTTTATCACATATTAATATATTATATGATTGCTTAAATATCTTCTAAATCAAATTTCATTTAAATTCGGCATCCTGACATTTTAATATTTACAAACTAAAATTCTATTATATTATTAATATTCTGTGTCGTCACACTTGTTTGCTGTGTCTTCTACTTATTATTTCGGATTGTTCAGAAGAAGCATAAGATTTTATTTTGTACAACAAGATGAAACGTTCGATGCATTCTTTACAAATACCATGTTCGGAAAATAATTTAATAGATAATGTACAGTATTATTACGGAAAAACAAAACTAATACCAATTTCAAAGAGAAATTATAAAGAAATTTATTTCCCTTTTACAAATGTAAAAGAGAAAGGGTTTACAGTCACAAATGATTGCGCGTTTATTCTCAAATGCAATTACTACTTTACTGCGTCAGAAGGAATCAATAACTAATAGTCTGTAATTCACCGTAAGACGAATGTCCATAAGGATAATTTGTAACATTAGTATCCCTCGAAATGACAGACCAGAAAGACATCTGGAAAACTCGATATTATCTTATCCCTAGAACATATATGATTCTATCGGGTTTATGGCCGTACCATAGATTTTGCGATAGATGTATACATTTTATATCGATATTTACGTTCTGCTTTAGTATTCTAATATCGCAGGTAAATTACTAGTTTTACACTTAGGAAAAAACAATTGACTGTAAACTGTTTGTGACATCTAAACAAAACAATTGTATAATTTGTTTCTTTAAACAACAATAAAAACTTGGATACATTGATACGCTCCACAAAATATATTTAAATATAGTTACTGTACCTAATAATTGATTCAATGAACATCAATGACGTGATAGACAGTGCAACGTCAATGATTATCAGCATAATATTCAGCTTTAAAATGATAGTTTTATTGTTTAATAACAAGAGAGTAAGTAATAATTTTAATAAATTCAATATTTCTTATTCATACAATTCATTTTTTTTTCTATAAATCAGTGATAACAAATATGTAAATATGTATGTATTTATATGTAAGTATGTATGTATTTATTTATTTATATAGGTAATGTCTTGTCTTAAGGTGATAGAAGAGGATTGGTTTACAAATATAGAAACAAATGCAGAAAAGATTATTCTGCAACGCCATACTGAATACGGACAATACTTAATCTTATGCAGGTATAAAAAATGTATAGATCTATTTTTTTAATGATACGCGTTAATCCAATGCCCGTTTCATTTTCGTAATTTCTTGAGTTTTTCAATTATTATATCTAAAAAAAAATTAATATAAAATATAATTATTATAAAAAGAATTACTTTCGAAACAAATAGTTTTAAATCCAATAAAAAGTTTTAAAAAACAATAAAAATATATGAAAAGAATTCATTGATAAATCAAATATTATTATTTCTTTCTAGTTTTCATGCACTTGGTGCAAGTTTTTTATTTATTAAAACCAGTTGTGCTGACATTATTAGAAGCTGATATCATGAATTCTACGAAGTCTTTATCGAAATTGCCATTTTTTGTCGAATACAGTGTGGATGTAGAACGGTACTTATATCCAATAATGATTCACTGTTATTTAGCCGTATTTGCTCATGTATTTAGTACAATCGCAGTTGATATCTTATATTACACTTTAATTCAACATGCCTGCGGGATGTTCTCGATCATTGTGTAAGGATATTAGGATCGAAGATGATCCAAAGTTAAGGATTAAAAATTAAAAATATTATTTCTTGCAGACATTTTGATACGTTCCAGATACGTATTAGAAGAAATTGGTAAAAATATTAACGCTAATTTTCATCTAAAATTAAACAAGACAACAGACAATGATTACAAGAAAGCATTGAATTGCTTACGTGAACATTTGCAAGTAATAAAGTGCGTTAATAAAAGTGTAATATTTCTTAAAAATCATGTCTATTTTACCGATATTTTTGTAATTGGGATTTACGATTGGGATTTATTTTGTAGATTCGCAGAACGAAATCGAATCTACATTTACAAATGTATTTTTAATCAGTATTAATTTAAATGTGATTTGTGGAAATATGTGCGGTATACAAGTATGTATCAACCTTTATTTTTTCAGATAAATAATAAATAAAGAATGTTTAATGTTTGATTACAGTTAACATAAAAATAATATTTGTATCTTCAATAATAAACGGATTATTTTTGGAATATCGGATATACTCGCAGCAATAATTAATCGAAAAATCCGAAACAATTTAAAAGTTTTTCAAAAGGAATTAAATGTTTTTTCTTGTGTTGCAAAAATTATTTTTTTTCTAGATAATATTGAAGTTGGGAAATGCTGAAGATATAACAGCATCTTTGGCTATCTATGTAGCGCAACTCATTCATATTTTTCTACAATTTTGGCAAGCTCAGTTTTTGTTAGATTACAGTATTGCTCCATGGGAAGCTATGTAAAAATATAAATTCTTCAATCTTATAATTCTAATCCCTAGTTATATATACTTGCAAATAAAATGATATTGCTTTGCATTATAATTGCAGAGGAAACTGGTATTATACTTCAAATAGATGCCGCAAACTCTTTCTTCTAATTATGAGCAGAACAATGTCGCCATGCAGAATAACTGCCGGAAAAATTATAAATTTATCAATTGAAAGTTTTGCTGCGGTAATTGAATATTTATTTTCAAATTATGAGTTTTAAAAGTAGTGACTGTAGTCATTTTGATTATTTTCATAATTTCAAATTTAAAGTATAAAAAGATTACGTAATAATATTGGATCTTTATTTTGTAAAGGTTCTGAAAACAATAATGTCTTGTTTTATAATGCTACGTTCTGTTCAGTAATGAAATTATTATAAAGAAGTAACTATACATGCATGATAACAACATTTTAGTAATACAAAACAAATTTTACTTCTATTTATCTAATAAATAAATCCAGTTATCTTAAAATCCATATTTTATCAATACATATAGTCTGCATTCTTCATCAATATTTCTTATATTTAATTTATATCTAATATCTCAATTTTTATAAAATTTATGATTATATTATATAAATTTATGATTATATTATATGATATCTCTGTGCTCTTTGTTCTCTACTTCTATTTTCTCCAAATATTCTAAAAAAAAAACGTATGGTTATTTAATAAAATAAAATGTAAAAAATGCATTTTATAAATTTTGTACCTGAAAAATGATTCGATGTGAACAATATATCTGAATAATTTTTAAAGATTTTTCAGAATGTACAATTGATTTTGTACCTTATATATCACTAAACTAATAATCTTAATAAGCTAGGATGATATCTTGAAGCAGTCAGAATAAATCTCAATGGTAGCCGTGGAGAACGTGCTACTTTTCCAGATAGAAAGAGAGAAGAGAGAAAGAGACTGGCAAGTTGTGCCGTTCCGACTTCTATGCCAACGTACCGTTATTACGTACTCTCGATTAAACTCCGAAGAATGGCTAAGTAATCGTTTAACCCCTTCGGCTCCCGCGGCTCCTCCGCGTAATGAATCACGAGGGATCGTGTCCCTCGGCCGGCGAGGCGAAATATCGGCGAAATATCTACAGAGACACGACAAGTCGCTGATAGTCCTCGATCGCGAGACCGGCGTTTCTTCCGAGGGAGAAGAGAATGCCGAAGAGGCACCATTCCCATCCGTGTCTACGCCGCGAGCGATTTCAGCGGTTGCTGAAATCGGACACCTCTAAGCGCGACCAGCGGCGCGGATCAAGGCGCACTCACACGCTCGTTTGCCTGCTTCGTTGTTCGATCCTCCGAAAAAGACCGTTAGCCGTCGACTGAAATCAAGCCGATACACTACCTATCCCACATCGTATGGTATAATCGCCCGTATTTATTCGCGACATTACCGGTGCCGATGATGCCTGCAATCCTAAACAAGAGAGTAAAACGAACAGAACGGCGTGCAATTCCACGCGAGCGTGCCATCCTTTGGCAGCACTCGAAGAATACAATTCTGTTCAATTCATCTTCAATCATCGGTTAAAAATTGAGTAGCGAATCACGCAATATTCAATATATTATAACTTCTCATATTAAAAAAAAAAAAAATTCGTTGCAGGCATCAAGCTACAAATCAAATCTGTATTTTCTCTAATAATTGTGTGAGATTGAAATTAAATTAAAATTACCTGGTTCTTCTTTTCATTTTGAATATTCACTATTTTGTGCAATTTTAAATTCAATTAATCTAATTTTATTATTACTAAATGATAATTTATACTAATTCTTTCGTTATAAAAATTTTTAACTTTAAAAGAGATTATATTAGAAACCAAATTTTTAATATTACTAAAAATTCTATATAAATCAAATTTTTATTAATATATACATTTATTAAAATTTTCCTATGTTAAAAACTTATTACATAAAAGAATTAATCGTTTTAATATAAATCTATTTTTAGCATAATGTTAGCACGCCGATTCTATTGACACGAAGATAAACGGACATGAACAACTAGTAATTTTCACATTTCTCAAGCATAATCGTAAATCCGTACAGTATTAATACCCCTTAATCGGACACATCATGGTATAAAATTCATCCACAACTCTATTATCATCGATTTCTTTATCTTATTCACGCTTTACAACTCTCTCGCGGCAAAGCGAACGACCTCATTCGGAATAATACAGGGCAAGAGTCGTACCTGTGACCAATCGATCGTAGATAACGATGATAATCTTACGGTTGATCGAATGAGATTGACCCGTGAAAGTTCGAATGCAAAGTAGCGACGTCGATCGATTAATTTTACGGCTCTTTGATAGACGCTAAGAACACGATTACGCTAGAGAGGATTCTCATATATGCTTATTAAGTCTGGCGTCACGACTGCTATCACACGTGAGAGTCAAGATAAGCACTCTCGTCGCCCCCATGTTCGATATTATCGTCGATGCCGCACAGCATTGAAATCACTATGCGACTGGAAACATTATGGTAAAAGTTACGAGATGACTTCTCTAGTTCCCGTTACATCATGAAAACCGATTGGAACAAAATTATAATAATTCTATGCGAGATTACATTACAAAAAATTCCTTCATTAGAATTTGAAAAAATTCAATGAAAAGAACATTTAATCTAAGTGAGATATAAAAATTAGAATGTTATCAATAGCGCGCGAGTAAGAAAATAAAAATTAATATTATAAGCAATTCAATAAGTAATACTATTAATAATATAACAATTCAAGAAGCTTAATATATTTTTCATTTCTCTTTATAAGTTTTCCAGTTATTTCTTTGAACTAGAATTACCTGAAAATGGATTATAATCATAGCCGCGATCGAAGAAGACACAAGAATTCAGTTTACTTAAGGAACGACGTCGCCAAGTTCAATTAAGCAGATTTATTTTCTTTCTGTCTAAATAAAATAACGAATCACTGAGCTATAACAGACTCGCTTAAATCAAATCATCGGCATAGAGAAATCTATCCTATACAGACCCTAATGCACGCCCTACGCCAGCTGATACCTCACTGTGCAACGTCGATATTAAGGAGCCTCCTTGGCAGCCCTGGGTTGTCCCATCGACATCGACGGACAAGTTCTATGACTAACAAGTTTGCACTTTAGCGCATAACGGGGCATTCCACCGTGTACCATAGATCATGGTCCATGACCCGCGGATTGCGTGGGCCGGCCACCATAATCATTCCTCGCCTCGATACAACGACGCAGCGGCGATGCGGTACCACGAGCATTAAGTTTCCGATTCTTTTTCTTCCTCTTCTTCTTCTTCTTCTTCTTCTTCTTCTTCTTCTTCTTCTTCTTCTCCTTCTTCTTCTTCACCGCCTTTCATTCCCACTCCCGCTCAATCTCAATCGCGCTATCTCCCGCATCGAACTCACTCCTTTCGCAATGGTGCAGCCAATTTCGTCGCTTCGATCGAGAGATAATTACGTCGCGCGACTAATCTCTTCAGGGACAGTTATTTATATTGAAATGACAAATTATACATACACAGCATACATATAACGATTAATATAAAACAGTTTAATAATATAATTAAAAATAATATAATCGCAAAAAAATATTTTTAATATAAATGTTAATGTTACATGTATATATCGCTTTCCCTAAAGAGACTGACATCGGGACATCTTCTCTCTGAGAAGATAATCCCAATAATTTTACAAGAAAATGCAGGTCCAAACGAAATAGTGCGTAACTCTGCGCGCATGAAATATTCGCGAGTGGTACAGGTTGTACTAACCGCGAAGATTAATTTAGCCGCAGCTATAAATAAACGTCGGATAGATAATAAATCGTCTCGCAAAATACGCGGATAAATAGATACCTTCGTAGTAACGAAATTCCATTGCTTTTTCATCGATGTTCGCGCGATTACACGATAATTAATTGATCCGGCGCGACATCGGTCGGGGATACGATCGCATCGTATTCAGATCTCTGATCGCTCGTAATAGAAATGTAATCCTGGGCTCTTGGATTTTATCTAGATTACAAAATCTAAATGACTCAATCGCCGACGACGATGCATCATCGTGGTATCGAAAATAATTACGACCAATACGTCGCTATCGTAATCATTGTCATTAGTGTAATTATCATTATTTATTGGCGGGCAATAATATCGTCTAAAGTCGCTTGAACATAAGTCGTTCCTCAAACGGGATACCGACGTCATGCATTTTACTTTGGGAATCAATTATAAGTAATGATACGGCACGCAAATGATACGAACGACGCGCGAGCCGCTCTGATTAAGCACTGTCGAGAAGAAATACACGGCGACATAAATTGTAGGCTGCAACCAAGCAAGACGATATAAGTGTCAAGGACGTTTTTCATATCTTCACAAAATATGCATTTCCTGTGATACTACTTTGTAATAAGTAGATAAGATTTATTACGTTTACTCCCAACGCCATCATGTGTCCACTCTATATTCTCTTATACGATCGAAAAGTCAAGAGAAAAAGCCAATTAAACTTCGGTATGTATGTTTCTTAAGAATAGCAAAAGGAGAACATTTAAATTAGGTATCTCATCATTTTAAATTAGAAATATAGCAGCTTGTCCTTTTCAGTTACAGTAATCTTCAAGCAATAATTATATTACTTGAAGCTTGCGATTTAAATCATCACTGATAAAAGAACTCTTTATCTCTTATTGCTTTTCCTTTTAAAATCTTGCTTCTATTTCGATACATTAGCCAAGCGAATCTTGCACGCAGGATTTTTAAATATCAACGCTTACAACGCTTTTTTTTATCTATCTACAATTATCTCGCACATCTCTTAAATTTGTCTTATTTTTCACACTTCTCGCTTCGCATCTCAAATCAAAGGGATTCGGTGGCTCGATGTTAAATCGAAGTTAAATTACCGTGAAGGAACTCTGACCGGCGAAATGTATCGTATAATCTGATCGTCCTTGCCAGCAACGCAAAGACACGTAAGCGACGGCATAATGAGCCATTAGCCCGAGAGTGTCGATGACAGAGCCTGATACTATACTCGCTATCTCTTCGTAAACTGAATGCGCCATGAACAACATTAAAACGCATGTTCCCCGACGCTTTAACGCTTCGAGAGTGAACATCGTTTAATCATCGATTACCACGGATTCTCTACTCTCCCGTGGAATACATCGTAAAACGAGCAAGTGGAAATTTGGAAGATATGCAAACGCATTAAGCGCAAGATGCGCGAGGAACGAGATGGTTTCAAGGACAGTTATAATCATCGAAATTTTCGTCTCGTACAACAGTTACAAATTTGCAAGAAAGTAATTTCCCTTCCTTTATTATTTTTATATCATATGCCCGCACATTATAAGAGAAAGAATAATGAGCATGGCGATTGGCATGAATCGAGAAGACGTAAAATATTCCCTACAAATAATTTATGATACGTTATTAAACAATATTTTCGTCTGTAAACACTTTCATATTTTTGGTAAATAGATTTTTTGAAACTCAAATGAATAAAGTAACGTTTAGAATAAACGGCAAATGTTTATAACAATAATTATTCTACTTCAAGATCAAATCTAGAAAGGTTTCGAAACTATTATTAAAATCCTAAAGTTATTCATTCTCATTAAATGGATTCGAATTTGGATGAAGACGATGATAAAAATGCAAATCTCGCGATGCCGATCGCTCGGGTATCGCGAGAGCACCGAGATTCCGTCATCGCGTAATTCATCGGACACGAGGCCAGGACGTCTGATGAAATTTCTCCAGGAACTCGAGAAAGGAGAAGATCGGAACAAACGGAAGGAATCCCAGATGGTCGCGATAGACGCACGATGCGTACGTGCAGTCCGCGTTGCAGCGTACGCCGCCGAGGAAGATAGCCGGGCCGGGTAGAGTCGGGTTCTGATCCGCGAGGCTGCGATATCCGACGAGGAGGGTGCCCTTGAAGCGGGCGGGGTCGTCACTCGCAGGGCCGCGGGTAAACGACCATCGGAAACCCATGTGTGTTACCAGCCGGGGCCTCGCTGAGGCCTTATAGCGCAGCTTTACTTACTCGCACTACTTAAGTTTCTGGATGTGTATGCGCGTCTCACACCGATCTTCCCCTCTCCCCTCTCGTTCTTCTCTCTTCCCGCTCCCTCCCCTCGCGGGAAGCACCACCGTGGATCACGAGAAAACCTATCTCACCCGTGTACCCACTACCGGTGGAAGCGCCGGCGGACCGGCGACCACTTCTCCTGCCTTACGAGTGTTATGAAACGACTCCTGCCTTCTTCCTTCACGCTGCCAATTTATAGGTTTAATTACCGCCTCGTGGCGCGATGGCTCGCGATCCTCGCGTCACGATGAAAAAAATCCGAAGCCGGGATCATACGGCGACGTTAAAAGCGATTTAATCTGTCGGGCTACTATTAATCGACGATAAACGATTTGTCCGCTTTACAAGTATCACTCGAGACTATCGACTATCACAAACAAGCGCGCATAGTGATAGAGCGCATTTGCACTCTTTCGCCATCGTCATGCCCGATCATAGCTGTGTCTCTTTACTTCCGATATGCAAGCATATATGATAATTCAAAAAAAAATATAATAAAAATCTTAGCATATAAAATTAAAATATCAATAGGAAGTAATATTAATAGGAAGTTATCTGATTAATATGCATTCCTAGCATAAATATCTTTCAATTCCATTTTCAATGATGTTCCCGTCAAATATTTTTAATTTTTTAAATTTGAAGAAGTATTTTAATAATTAGTTATTAAAATATTTTGAAATTATTTTATTATAAATTATCGTAGATTGTTCTAATTGCGTAATGTCGCATATTACTAATGATTACTAATAATTCAAATTTTAAAATAGAATTTGTCAGAAAAAATCCTGATTTTCAGTCAGACAGTTAATACAAAAAAATGTATTGTTTTTCTATCAAATTTTGTCCTTTAAATAAATTTGCAGTACAATCGGCATTTTGCTATAAGGCAAAATTAAAAAAATTGTTATGTAGATGGAAAAATTTATCAAATAATCTTGATTAATAAAAATTATATTATACAGAAAAATTATATTATACAGATCGCAGAGTAACTTCATCTTTGACCTTAAGGCAAAAGTCGTAAAAATTTCGGAGTCTGTTCTCAACGAAAAAGAACTCGAGGAAGGAAGAGTTTGGTGGAAGGCGAAAAAGCGCGATGATACCGATTCCTTTCACGACGGAAAGGAAATGGTCTGCGATGGGCCGTGTTCCACGAGGGCAACCTTGGACATAACTCGGTAGGGCCGGACGTACTACGGTGCTCCTACAGCCAGTAATGAGCCAAATCCATTACGGCAGCAAGAGCAGTGGGGAGCAGCAGCCAGCAACACCGTAAGCCAACCATCCGCGCGTCCGACTCTCCCATCTTTTCCCTCCCCCGTCTACCCTCCCCGGTCGTCCGCTTACCAACCACCCATTCTGTACGTGTGTCTATGCCGCGCACGTATCGTGTCGTTAACAAGCCTCTAACCAATGGCACCGGTTCGGTACCAATTCCAATTATAGACTGTGCGAATGCATCCTACGTAGCTCTAGTAGCGTATATAGAGTACCGAAGTAACGTTCCATACCTTCTCCTTCTCCTCCCCCTCCTCCTCTTCTCCTTTCCGTCTCTTCTGTACTGTGCTGCTTGATCGCGTCATTTCTCGATTTTAAGATTTTAATTACGTTTCTTTCATCGTGGATCGCGGAACCGATCGCGTTAGTCTACCTCTTGCTCAGAGTGAATTGAGAATTTATAAGGAGCGGAAAGAAATTCGCGAAACGATTCGCTTGTAAATTATCGTCGAAGGAACACGGTATTCGATCCGCGATGGTCGCGGAATATCGCACAAGGTGCAAGGTCACGATGTATGACCGGGGGACATCCCCGCCGCCGCCACCGTCGTTGCGGTCGATGGTAGCGCCCCCCCTCCCCCACCCGCAATTGTCAATTAACATTTTTGCCGACGTGCAAGAAAACAGGAATAAACTGCGTACCGTAAAACCGTGTACATACATACATACCCGCGGTTGGTCCATGCTCGACGCGGTTCCGAGCGATCGCGAAAACGTTGGTATGCGGGGGTACAAGTGTCGACATTCGGCAACGATTAATTGGATGATTGTCGATAATTCTTACGTTCAATTATTCTTACGTTCTATGAACGTGATTTTAATATGAATTTAATTTACTTTTTATCTTTTTCCAATTCTTAAAAATAAAAAAAGATAAAAAGCAAGTTTAATTATAGACATTAAACAATATTTTCTATCTACAGCGCATCTAACGCATCTATGTTTCTTCAAATCTTACGATTCTAAGATTTTAATTACATTGCGATCAATTTTAACGCAATTAATTTAAATTTTAATCTTCCAGCTGAAGAACAGAATTTATTATTTGTATCAAACGGAATAAGAAGATTCTTTGATAGGGATTAAAATTAAAAATCATAAGATTTCAGATAAAAAAAATCGATATTTATGATAAACCTGTTATTTTTTTAAATACAATACTATAGAAATGTATGGTGATCTCTTTAAAAATATGTATAGCTGCATATCTTCGCGCAGATAATTGCGTCTAGATATTTATACTTAAGAAAACAACGTGGACTTTTTCACTTGTATATTTGCAAGACATGATTAATGAACATATGTCTCTTCCTAATTTATTAATTTTCTCTTTGAAACGACTTGAGCTGTGCCAACCGACCGGATGCGATCCGGGGACTCCATGGCACAATATTTCTGGATTAGTCGATCTAGATTAAATTCCACAACGCTCTAACGGCGCGAATAATATCCCGTTCGTGCGAGATCGACGATAATTTATAAACTTGTCGGGGCGCAGCCTCGAATTTTTAAGCAATTCGTTATTTCTAGTCCGATCGTGATATCAGTTGTCTGATTATTAGAAGAACGAAATTTATTTATTCAGTTAATTTCTTAATTTCGGAATATTATTAAAATATTAACGATTTGAAACTTCCTAAAAATGCCATAAAATCAATATTTAGAAATTAGAATATAAAAATAAAATTCTTTTCTTTATATCAAATTTTTAGAATAATGAAAATAATCATCTTTATCGGATTTTTCTAAATGGACCAAATTAAAGTAAAAAAGAAGAGTGTATAAATAAATCTATTAACTAAAAATATCAAACAATTATTTCTGGCCTTTTATTTTTTATTTTTATTTTTAAATTAATATCTTTTTTTCTCGCATTAAAGGTATGATTTTAGAATATTCTACCTTTTCATCAATTAATTTTTCATTTCATTCTAACTTTTATTATTCTCTTTATTCCTTTATTTTAATATTCGATATAAATATTAAAATAAAAAATTAAAAAATTTTATTTTTAATATCACAAAAAATATAAAAATTTAAAAATACAAAAATGATTAGAAAGAATAACTTTTAGTGTTAAAGTATTTTAGCACTTTACATTTAGTAATCATAAAAGTACATTTAGTAATCATTAATTTAATAATAGTTAATACAAACTAATAATTAACACAAACTTATGTACAAAATAAGATTGCTCACAATTATTTACTTTACTGTAGCTTTAATAAATAAAAAGAATTGTAATTGTAGTAATAGAATACTATTTTTATATTTGTATAGTATTGTAATGCATGAACGATTCTGGATTAAAGGATATGTAGTGACTAAGAAAAAAGGGACAAATGCGTTATTCCAATAATGCAAAACTGGGCAACCGAGAGATATGGGTTAGTCTTATCAATCTTTAACATATGCGAATGGAATACAAAATAACAATTTGTTCCGCTCGGAATGTGCAGTGAATGCGTTGTTGAGATATATAACGGTGAGATACAGGATAAGTGTATTTATGTATGAATATAAATAGCACATTCGCGAGATGCAAATATCGGGCAGTTGGACAGCCAATCAATACCAATATCAAGCTACTTGCTCAATAGCCATAAACAAATCTTCGAATAATCAAAGAAGTACAATTGCCAATCATCAATTTACGCTCGTTTCTCTCATACAAATACCATGCAAAAACAATACTGATAAATACTCACCCTATCTTGGTGATGAGTTTTCCATGAACGTGGAGATACGAAGTGACGAATCGTTTGTTCACCTAATAAAAAAAACATATCGTAAATATCGAGGCAAAAGATAAATAAAACATTGTCTCTTTCGCTAAACACATTAAAAATGTATTAATAATAGTTTTAACAAAACATGTCAACAATAGGTTTTTTTCACCATATGAATATTCAAGTTATATAACATACTAATATGTAGTTATCATTAGTGTGTTCATTAATTTTAAGATTTTAAGAAGTCATATACAACATATACAACATATCCGGTTTTAAAAAAGTTTTCCATTTAATTTTATCCGAATACGAAAGAGACGTACAGAGACTCTACAGTTGTGGCTTTTGTTAGATAAATACAAAGTCGCAACGAAAATGGATACCTCGACACTCGTTAATTGCGATAACTCCTCCAAGTCGCTTGCGTGGGATAACGTTGCCTCATTGGCAGTGCTTGTTGTACGCCGTACCCGCCTACCGTCACCCGGATGAATCCACGTTTCTCTTCTTAGTCCGCCGCCGATGATGTTCGCACCTTCCTTCTCTTTCATTCTCGCCCGTTCCTTCGATTCCCTTTCCTCCTTCCGTTTACGTTCGATAGACTCGTACTAAGAATATTTCGTTTACTGAGAGAGTATCTCTATCGTGTATACTGGATGCATTTACGATGCATCGTGTAACAAATGCAGTGCATATAATTCTTTACAATTGTTCTTTACAATTGTCTTTACAATTGTTGATGATATGTTATTTGTCTTTATATTTATATGCACATTTTCGTTATATATATACAAGTGTAAAAGATATGACCACTGCATAATGTTATGCGGAATATTCTGCGACCAAATCCATCCTCGTAATTTTTCTAATTGATACAAATTTAATTTGCTTAATTATTACCGAATTGTTTAACGCGTAATAAATTAAAAAATCATGAAAATTGACCGTTTTCCATCAAGTTCTGTTACAACTTTGAATTTTATTATTGGGAAATAGAGAGGATGATGGTAGCAGGACTCGTACCTTTTGTATAGTCAACTAGTCATACAAAGAGTGTCCATCGGACAATATTTGTATTTCTCATTTGTACAAGTTCCCGCATCTATGATAAGTGCATGCTAACGAAATGTGCAGAGTTCTAGCAAAGATAAGAAAAGTTTCTAACTTGGATTTACAGCGAAGCATTTCTGAAAATTTAGGAATATTGATTTTTACAAACAGGCAGTTTCAAAAATGCTGCAGGCCTATATCGTTAATAGATTTCGTTCTTTTATGAATTTCTCCAAAAATACGAGTGGTGCACCCACCTCTACATTATCACGCTATTCTGTATACATTTTCATTCTGTACAGTGTTCTTAATCTTTTATTAAAGCTAATATTTGCATGAGCGATTACTACAAAAATTGCTATGCAGAAGTATTTAGCTAACGGCAGATGTGCAAGAATGATTGTTGTTTGAACCAATTAATAATTGCAAAAGGCATTAATTCGCCACATTTGCCATCAAGAGTTAATAGAAACTAAAGATTCTAAGTGCACAAATGGATTGAATCATCAAGGCTCGAAAAAGCATATAATAAAGAAAATATACAACGAGCAGTAAAATACAACAAACAGGTAATAAAGCCTTGACCAAATAAATGATGAATGATTATTTAGAGAGGTTCACACCAAGTATCAAAATTTACTTACATAATGTAGATACTGGCGGCAAAAGAAAATCAAAATATTATTAACGTTAGTATAAATACAAACAATTTAACGCGATACGTTTTATAAGTTCTCTTACCTTTTTCCTATTTTCATCGAAGAGCCCTATCAAACTTTCTCTGGCAGAATGGAAAGGATTGGACGCCATAAGAGATCGCATGTAGTAATATACAGCATCCAATTTTCGTCTCTAAAAATACAAAAAATATGTTGAAAAAAAAAATGTATATATGTCAAATTATATTCACAAGTACATTTTGTAAATATATACCGCATAATGTGCCAGCACGGCGAGTTGATTGTAAGGTCTACCATTTTTGGGATTGATTTGTTGTGCTTTCAAGTACCATCTGCATAAAAAGATATTTTTATGCAAATTAAATCAATGTTAAATATTTAAAAATATTACTGTTGTAATTATTATAAACTTACTGCCTAGATTTTCCATAATTACTAGTTTCGTTTGCTTGCTCTCTGTATCTTGCCAAGTCTCCCAAAAACAAAAATATCTTTTGCGCGCTAACCAAAGCCAGTCCCAAAAAGCCGAGACCCTTAGGTAAACTTGATGATGCAAGAAATGTGTCTAATTTGAATTGGTATGTAGTCTCGAGAGTTGCCAGTAAACTTTCCAGATATGTAGTACCCTCATCAATAATATTTAACATTATTTGCTTGTAACGTTCTCGTCCTTCCGGGTTTTCTTTGGGCATTGCTTTTCGCAGCATCTCAATCAGATTATAAAATAATATCTTCCAAAAGTGTTGCTCAACATTCTCCGCTTGGCAGAATTTGATATCAGTTTCAAGCAAGATTTTTAAGCTCTGTTGAAGAAAATGTCGTATATACGAGACTCTATCCAAACGCGATATAAAGCCACCGGAACTTATTATCCATTGTAGTTCTAGATCGGCACGTTCTATGTCCAATAAAAGACAATGATTTTTTGCTGAATGAAAACTATCGAAAAAAATAAATAATAATGTAAATATAAAAGTATATATATATACATATATAAATATGACAAAATCTAAGAATTATCCCAGACAATGCATATGTGCAAGATATCTTTAAAACATCTTTCTGATAATTTAACAAGACATCTTTTAGATATTTTATAAAATATCTTAATATTTTCTGGGATAACATACATGAAAATAAATAATATGTACCTAGCTGAAAACGGATCATACCATGAAGGTTTTACGTTTCCGATTTGGTCGTTCATGCATGGTGGTGACATACCGTCCAATTGAGTGTTATGGAAAGAATAATGCGGCGATGTAAAACCTACATTAGATTGAAATACTGGGACACTTGAAACCTGCATGTCACTATCCCTTAAAGGGAATAAATTCTTGTTTATTACTTTCTATAACAAAAATACATGACAAAAAATGAGAAAGAAAATCGAAATTATACCTTTGCACAGCTGCTCTACTTCCGGGTGAAGTGATAACAATAGGTTTATGCGGATTATTTGGATCAAACAACGTTCTCTGCTGTTGCTGTCCAATTCCTTGCTGTGAAATCGTAGTTGTTTGATTAGGAGACTGACTAGTCTCGTTAGGCAAGATCAAAACGCCAGGTTGAGCATTATTATATCCCGTCGGAGATGATCGATGTACCATCGGATTCGAATTTACACTCGAAAGTGGAGCAGTATGAGAGGAAATTTTAGGAGTTTGTCTTCCGTCATCTGACTCGCAAGTCGATATTTTCCTGCCTGTTCTCCAATCTTCGTCCAAATACCTATCAGTTCTAAAATGAAACATGTGTAATATAATTTTTAAGATATCTGTATAAAGATATCTCTATATATAAACATTTCATACATATAATCAGGTTACTAAAAAATTAAATACCTTCGTCTGTGAAGATCGTCAAAGTTTCTATAGCTACTACCATAACTTCTATCTTTACTCGACTCTCGGCTACGCTGAATGATATTACGCCTTCTATGATCATATCGCCTACTACTATTGTTATTATTGTTACTATTCTTTTGATTATTGTTATAGTTGTCATTTTCTCTGTTTTGTTGATTCTTCTGACGTTCACGGCTATTACCTCTCGCTTTGTCCCTGCTACTGCCCCTTAAACAATTTAAAACATAGTCTCGCTAAACAAAGAATTCTTCGATATACGTATTTATAATCATCTTTAAAAAAATAAATATGGATAAGATAAATAATGAGATATCATCCTTACCGATCACTACGATGCTTATCTTGTTTTTTTTTTTACGTCGTTTGTGACTCTCGCCTACAGCCTGGCTTCGCGGAACGCTTGTGCTTTCCCGTATGCTTAATACAGACGAGCTACGGCTCAAATGTTCCTGTTCTAATTTTTCATTCAATTCAACTTCCTCACTCCAGTCCTAATGAAATATAACTCTATACATTTATATCGCCTGAGAAGAGTATTTTAAATATTATTTTATCAGTTTATGTACTTACAAATGTTTCAGATGTAGTATAAGATGGCTGATTACATGATTCGCCTTTCATAGAATTAAGATTCGTATTTTGTTGATTATCCTGCTTGTCCGTACTTGTATTATGTTCGTACGCATTACTGGTGATTGTTCTTTGCCTTAATTAATAATAATTATGTTATCAAATGCATATAAAAAGTAATATAAAAAAATAGATTGTTTAATGTTAAATATTTAATCACATGTTGCTGGAGCGATTGTGTGTTGGTGATGCGCCTTTGTAATAATTCTCAGGTGATCTATGGCCTCTGTTCGAATTGGACTGCGAAGTTGCGGGCGATGCAGATGATGGCGGCGGTATCATTACGCTATCGGCGCGACTTAAGCTTTCCATACTGGTATACATAGTACTATTGCTACCACGGCGATCATAAAACCTGTTATTCATAAATTTCATAAAATCCCAGTCAAAATTTTAACAAATTATATTTATACAATCATTTCGATGAAAAATAATATAAATATAATATATAATCATACCGATTCATATATTCTTGGCTAGGAGTATGAGATCTAGAACTGGGAGCAGAATATTGTTCAGGTGTAACAGGCCTAAAAATATTGCTTGCTGCATCTAATTCTTCAGGTCTAAGTCTGCCTCTTCCTCTGCTTCTCGCTGGCACGGTATTAGCCCAATTAGATTGTGATAGCAATGGTCCGGATGGTGGCAGATTTTGCATCGTCTGTGAATGCTGCATCGTTGATGGATGATTATAATTGGATGAACCCTGCTAACAATACACATTGTGAAATATAATCATCATTGCTCCAATTATAAGTTGTCATAGAACATAAAATTAATGCTAGCACACACAAAGTATAAAAATTAAGTAAATCAATACTGAACAACTTTTTACCTGAAATGTAATGCTGCTACCATTCCAGGAGTCCTCTGCGGATGTTCCCGGATTGTTACTAGGTAATGCATATCCGTTATCAATAAGATATTTTTTTTGCAATCGTGGTGGCAGAAGTTCTAATTTGATATTTTTCCCCAAACTATCTTTTGCGTTGCCGCGTCTGCCTGAAGGTGGTTTCCCTTGAAATTTATCTAAATGCCCAACAGGTTCCACGCTACGAGTGTCTCGTGTACGATTAAAATCATTCTGATTGGTCATAGATAAAGGTTCCGAACCCTAATAATATGCAAAAATATATTTTCCACGTTGAACAAAATCCACAGATTTCAACATTATAATTTTATAATCTTACTAATATCATAATACGATTTCATCATTTTAAATCACACAAACCTGTCTGACTTCACGTAAATTGTCCTTTCGATTCGCGCAATTTCTAGCAGACACCGGGGAATCAGATCGCCAATAGCAACGATCCTCGTTCTCATTGCTAAAACGATGTCGACGGTTACCGGAATATCGTTTACTGTCGTCTCTACCTTTGCTTTCGCTTTCGTTGTCTCGCGTGCTGTGGCTGTTTGCGCGATTGCGATCACTTTTGAAATTACGAGTAGAACGCGAATCACGATCATTGCTCTCTTCTCTCTCTCGTTCCCACACAGCATGGTTGGGAGATCTGGAATTTGATATTTCATATTAAATAATGCAAATGATGCAATGGACGCTACTATCGCGTTATTCTCTCATATTGGAAATTATTTTAACATCAAGATTTGCATCTTGAGTCAATGTGTGTAATAAACGTAATTATTTGACGTAATTTTACCTATTAGTTCCATCTTGTTCAGCCAATGCTTCCTTCACTTTTTTTGGTACATACAGCAACTGCTCAGGTTTCCTATTTTTTCTTTTTGGATCGTTTCCACTTGTTCCACTGCCAGTGTTATTACCAGTGCTCTGTGCCGGTTCGTTATTGCCACTATTTCTAAAGTTAATATGGGTATTGTCTAATTTCTCAGTTACATTATCAATTTGTGACAAAGGTGGACTGTCCTGCGCCTGATTAGATCTGTTTAGTTGTGATTGCCTTGGGCGATAATGGACGGAGGTCGATCTGGATTTTTCTTGCGAGCTATTTTCGTTATCATATTCATCAGTGGCACTGCTAGATCTACCAGACTTGCGTAAAGGGCCGCTTCCTGGTCTGTATAAAGCTTGAGATGCCCTATTTCCTCCGCCACGAATCCCGGCTAATCTGTCCTTTTCCAATTTAGAAGTCATGGATTCTGAAAATTGTTATTCAATAATTTGTAAAAAATCAAAATTTCTCAATCAATCTTTTCACAAATATTCACAAATATTTTATTTAAATATTTTATATATGTCTTAAATAACTATCATCTTACTGATCACACATATGTAAACTGTTAATAAAATATTTTAGTAATACTGATTATATATAATCACTATTACTGAAATATTACTGAAATATTTTATTAACATTTTATATAACATGTTTTATAAGATATATATCACAATAATTACTTCCTTTTAATCATATCTGTTCAATGTTTCTACTGTGGAATAATCAAAATGCAGTATAAAACAAAAACTGATCTCATCTCAGCTCGTATTAAACCAAGTATTCCATACATGTGTTTAGACATATAATTTTAAAGTAAATATAATGTTATATTTTTTTTATAATATCTTTAAAGAATTACCCAATATTATATGTAACATGTGTACACAGATCAGAATATTGACACAGTAAACAAAGATCTGGTAAACTTGTATATATCTCTCTCATAGCTCAAAGAACTTATAAATAAAATCACTTATTCCTTAAAGAATGTAACAAAGTCAGAAAGACGTGAAGGAAAATACCAATTTTTATGAAAATTTACAAGATCGTTTATGTTGACACTCTCAACGATGCCGGAATTTACCAAGCGGCGCGTTGCCTCCGAGACGAAAACGTCACCCAATCAAGAACCGATCGTGGATTATCAGTGCCGAGTCTGTCCCGTCAAATGAGGATCATCGCGGTCGCCGGATTCAGTCGTCGCGTCGACCAAACGCCATAAAATAATGTGACATCGCGATAGTGCTCGCTGTGTTTGTAGGTTATCTCGTACGGTGAGGTTAATTTCTCGCACGTCAGATCCGATCGAGCCACGGAGGAAAGATCGCGAACCCGGCCCGAAGTTAGGCGCGTGAGAGTGCCAGCTGCTACGCGACATCGTTCCACCGCTCCATTCGCGAATTAGCAACATTTTCACCGAGATACCTTGTGAAAATCCTCCCCACTTTCTGCGTCCTTTGTCGCGGTTCGCCATATTGAAATGCTATCGCGTGAAGTTAAGATTTTTCTACCGCAGCGACGTCCGTGAACATAAGGAACGAGGCCTGCATTCCGATATTCACAGCCAGTACATAAAACCTATAATATATGTGACATGAACTATATATTTTCAGTACTGGCAGTGAATATCGGAACGCAGCCGAGAGATGTCGCGCGCCGGATTTGTTTTCTAAGGCCTTGTATTCACGATGTTAGAAATCAATCCGAGATCTTGGATGGAAAAAGAATTGATCAATTGCGTTTGAAAAATTCGGTCAGTTAGCCAATGTGATTGATCAATTCTCTTTCCATCCGAGATCTCGAACTGATTTCTAACATCGTGGACACAAGGCTTAAAGACGTTACAATCAGAGACTAGCCATGACTGATTCGCCATGTTTTGGCTAAATCCTAGCGAAAAAGAAATATACATCATCTCTCTAACCTACAATAATGTGTAAAAAAAATAAAATAATGTTATAAAAAAAATAATATCATTGTGCTATATATCTCAAGATTACGTCTCGTTCTTTTTTTAAAGTTTTTTAATATTTCAATCCACATAAAAAGAATGAAAAAGGTATAAACTTTGAATCACAAATTATTCTTATATTTTAAACTATATAAGAAAATAATTTCTTTTTAATTAATTGAAGTAGAGAATACGTAGTCATAAATTATTATTATTTTCTAACTTATCAACAGCAGAAATTTTAAAAATAAAAAAAATTGGGAATGACGATTTTCCTTCTCAGAATATACTCTACGTATGAAAATATACAAATTTACAAAATTATCGGAAAATCTGAAGAGAAAGCGTTATACTGCATTTACTAAAAAAATTTAGCAAAATTGAGCAAATAAACATAAATTTGGTTTATCAACCTGTTTTTAGTTCGCGTGTTTGACGAAAGAGGATTCTCCAATTATTCTAGAATCATCCAGAACATTCGCAGGATTTAAACCTTCCATCTCAGACTTATCTCGGCAGAATGTCGAGATCCCTCGAATTGTACATTCCTTCGCCGTGGATTTTAACGCCCAGTAATCTCATCGAAAATTGCCTAAACGCAATTCTAGCAAACAAGATTTTGGGAAAGGTAGGCAGTCCGTGAAACATGTACGAGTGGTGTTTCGGCAATCAATCGTCGACAGTTCACAGCGTTTACAGTTCCGCAGGAACCGCGGAGCTGTCAGTCAATCTGTTCTTGGATGTCCCAGAGTTATGGAGAATGCGAAAAGGGAGTCGAAATCCGTCCATTACCGGGCGGAAAAGAGTGCGGAGCACAATGCCAATCATCCTTGGAATGCTCTGACAACCGTAACCGCATTTGACACAGGTATGTTCGCATGGAAGATCGTGCTGTTGTTCTGCCGCTCTTTTTTAAACATACGAATTTATACTCCCCTCCCACGAATATTAGAATATGAACGCGTCAGCTGTTCATTTGGATAAACCGTTTGAGATATATCATCCTGGAATTTATTTGCCATTCTAAGAATAAAAAGATTTTTTTTTACAGAGAATAGCAAAAATTTTTAGTTGTCGATAAAAATTCAACTCGAAGTGATTAATCCATTTAAATGCGAAAGAAAAGAAAAAATCTTTTTCTTTCTGGAAATGTTTATTTGTAATAATTTTTTCTAGTTTTTTATTCATATTTTATTATGCCACATATGTATCATATGTTGCATCATATTTTAGTGTTAAGAATGCAAGTGGACTAGACATTATTTTTTAAGAAGTAGAATATAAAATAAGATATAAAATATGAAACTTGAAAATATCTTGTTTGGAAACAGGTAACAATACAGATTCCACCATTTGTTTGGACAATCTTAATGAAAATCAAACCAGAATTGTGCAGCAACCACCGCGTTTAAATCCTGCCACTAGTGTATTAGTTGAATCATTGATACAGCAATTATGCACTATGTTAGAAGGAGATAAAGTTCGTAGAAATAAATTATATTATGGTAATTGATTTGTATTTTTGAGGCTTTCATGGGTATTTTCTTCAAAATTATGGTTTGTGGGTTACCATCATGTTATGAACCATTAATACAAATATTTTGTAAACATTACAGTTTAATTTCAAGGCAAGAAGCAATCTGCCCACAAGCCATTATACAATTTTGAATTAATCTGTATATTGTATTCTTTAAATGTTCTAAAGAAATATTTTTGTTTATAGGAACAATGATATTATTTGTTTTACAGCTATTTGTGATAAACTTTGTGAATTGCAATTAATTAATGACACCTACAAAACAGTGGAATTTGGAATTTTACGAGGAAAATATCAAAAGGCTCTTTATCACCTGTTTACACTTGCTCGTGGCGAGTTTGGAGACGATAGAACTTTATCTTTATCTGGACCTGGGTATTGTAATATTTTATATAAGATTTAGATTTTGTGATCTAGATGTTGTATTAATATTATTTTCTTTTATTAATATTAATATTATTTTCTTTTCTATGCAGATTCGCAATCCCAGAATTATCTCGTTATCATTCAGAATTTCACGAGCTAAGCTTCATTGCTCGTGGAGGATTTGGAGACGTTTACAAAGCCCTACATCGCCTTGATGGTACTGAATACGCCATCAAAAAGATAATTGTACCTGCTGATCGTTCAGAGATTATAAAACAGCAATTGAATGAAGTAAAAGCATTGGCTAAATTAACTCATACTAATATTGTTTCCTACAAAGCTGCTTGGATTGAATCGATGTTACCATCGCTTCATACTTCAAACGTGTCCACAAATTTTGGATCATACAAGTTGCATACATCGAAATATCGAAGGACAACCAAATCGCGCAAATCACTTTCTATTGGGAATTTACTCAAGGATAATAAAAATGGTCTGAATCTTAATGATACTCAAATGTATTATAATGAGCAAAATAGTTTTTGATGAAAAATAACTGATATACAATTGATATATGTATATACAGATACGAGCAGAAAAGAGCGAAGAAGAAATGGGAGCTCTGTTGACGATGATGATAGTCATGATGTTATAAATGAAAGATTCGAAGAACTCAATTCGTCGATTAACATCATAGGAAAAAGAATAGTTGAGGAAAATATTATAGAAGAATATACCAATGAATCCAGTTCAGATATAGTATCTTTCCGAAATAGTAATAGTAATGAAATTTTGGATCAAACAAATTCAGATACAAGCAATAGTTCTTCATGTGAAGATACTAGTAATCGAGAAATATGCACGTATGCTAACAATAAAGTGAGTAGATAATATAAAGATATAAATCGATATATATTCTGAAATAAACATTGCATTCAAAGTATATTGACAAACATAAATATTAATGTGTCACACATCTCATGTCAATAGAATCGACAGTATTTGACTTTATACATTCAAATGGCCTTATGCGAACAAACACTCGAGCAATGGTTGCGCCATAAAATAAATGTAACATCTGAACCGATGATTAGAGCAATATTTCAACAAATCCTTTGTGGAGTCAATTACATGCATTCCCGAGAAATAGTGCATCACGATATAAAAGTAAAAATGCGCATATTTTTTTTAATTGATGTAATTATACAATCTCTTTCGAAATATAATAGAATGTTACATTTTTCAGCCAAGCAATATATTTATTTCGACATCCGGACAACTTCAAATACAGTTAGGTGATTTCGGTCTAGCTTGTCCACGAAAAGAAAATCATCAGTCTGTAGTTGGTACTCATATATACGCAGCACCAGAACAGCTACAGGGAAAATGCGATCCAAAGGTAATGGGAGAGAGAGAGAGAGAGAGAGAGAGAGAGAGAGAGAGAGAAAGAGAGAGAGAGAAGAAAATTAATGAATAAAGCATATCTTTTTTAATCTAATCTTTTATATTCTATTCAAATGTGTTCTTTTTATTTGCAGAGTGATATCTACAGTATAGGGATTGTTCTCATCGAACTTTCAGTTTTAATAAAAACTCAAATGGAATTAAGTTCCATTATCAACAGCTTAAAATATGGTAATATACCAGAAACTCTTGTAAAATATAAGTGGGTAAGTTTCAAATATATTTAGTTATGTCCATTATATTTTGTTACTATGTGTTAATTACATATATATTTACATTGTTTTTTATAAAACATAAATTGCTTTTTTTAGGCACATATGATCAAACTATTAGTGCAAGAAGATCCTACCAAACGACCGTCGATGAGCCAGCTTTTGCAGGATTTTAGCGAGGACAAGGATGTAATTATAACTGGATTAAAAGATACTATTATGAATTTAGAGAATGATAATCGCCATAAAGATCACACGATACAAGAGCTACAAGAAGAAATCGCATTATTAAAGAAAAATTAAATGCATCTGACATGTTAAATGCATCATGACCTGAAAATAGAATAAGGTAGATGTGACTGATATGTTGAGGAAGATCTAAATTCATAAAAAGTTTTATAATATTGATGATTAACTTGAAACTTGTCTCTCTCGAGTTAATTTTATGATGTTATAAGCAAAAAATGGCATGCAATATATTTTTTGTGTAATATATATTTTATTTTAATATAGTTTTAATATAATTTTCTAAAAAAAATTTTTTTAAATAAAGTTATATTATGCAAGAAAACTTATTACGTGTCATTTTTCGCTTATAACATCATAAAGCAATATGACTACGGCGAAATAGCTAACTTTAAATCTAAGTAAATAGTTAACTTAAAGACTGCCGATCTTTTTTTCGTGAATCGAGTTCCTAATAATCACATAGTATAATAAAATTGTTTTTAAAAAAACGTTTTAGAAATTCATATTTCAATTCATATCTTATGACTTAACTTTTTGTTAATAATCATGAACAATAACTAGATATAATTTTTACATTATTATAGATACATTCGTAATCTCTTTTTTAAGAATATTATTTCTTAGAAATATATAACGATTCATGCGCACAGCAAATTTTAATTTTTAAATATTTGATAATTTATATTTTAAATTAATATTTTTAATAGTTATGAATAACTAGCTATAAAATAATTCTTATAATTCGTAGTTTAAATCGATCAGTAGTCTTAAATATTTATATTGTGATTTAGTAATTATTTAACAAACTACAACGCGAAATATGGCATTTCCTCGGCAAGCAGGCTCTTAATTGCTAAAGTCTTTTTAATATGAAATAAATTGAATTAATTACATTACCAACTATGAAAAATGTCACCTCAGCCAGGGATCGAACCTGGATCGCCTGCTTTCCGGGCAGGCATTTTATTCACTAGATCATTGAGGCTATGATAATATTTATCGCAATTCAGATAAGTCAAAACGTCTTTTTCAGCCGACGTGCGAATAAATGATATCAATAATATTGATCATCGAATTATTATAGAGCCACTATGTTGAAAGTCTGCTAAACCAAGCGACACATAGTTGGTAATATAATTAATTGAATTTATTTCATATTAAAAAGACTTTAGCAACTAAAATGTTTGCCGAGGAAATGCCATGTTTCGCGTTGTAGTTTGTTAATTAACATATACTCGGCTTATATTTATGTATTGTTAGTAATTATTTGATGATTAAATAAGGTTGTCATATATATGAGCTACCAAATATAATTTAATGGTGCCAATTACAGCCGAATATGACTTGTACAAAACTCTTGTTACTCGAATCAAGTTTCAATGTTATATAGATGATAAATACATCATTTTATATATATATATATGAATATATATTTATATTTATTATATGTTTATTATATTAAAATACATAAAATATTTTGTTTTTTAATTTAGTTACATTACCCCTGTATTTGACAATGCAGACATATGAATTGTCGATAATTTTTATAAATATTAAATAATAAAGTAACAAATTAAACAATATACAAACCAATATTCATAGTTGGTTCTCATAGTGGTCTTAAAAGTGTCTTAAGTACATGTTTAAAATCTTGTATCAATCATAAATCTATATTAGATATTTAATTTTTTATAATTGGTTATAAATCTATTTAAGATGTTTAAAACAAGCATGAAATAAGAATGAAATATAAATACTAGTTATAAATATTTTATTATCATCTTAAATTATAATTAAATTATAATACTTACCACTTTGTATATAATTCTATTAACATTATTGCTTTGTATATAATTCTATTAACATTATGGCATAATTTGCTAACATAAGATTATAAATAAATAATATACATAAAATATTTTTTAAATTTTTATAAAAACAAACAATTCTCTAAAAATATTCAATAATGTTAAGAATTATCAAATTTAAATTACTTTAAATTATATTCAAGTTAAGAAAACTCTTCTAAAATCACATCCAATAATGCTTTAAATTGCTGACCAAAAAATATCCTGGAACTAGTAGAATCAGGAATGGCACATTGTTGTAGTAGATACTCAATATCTGGATATAGCTGTTGAATATTGATTGGTATATCATGAAGAAATCCACCAGGAAATGGATTTTCATTTCCTGAACTTAATAGAAGCTGTAATAACAAGTTTTTGACAAATACATTTAAAGTATAGTATATACATACGATATAATATAAAGATATAACTGGATGCAGTCAACTTGATGTCACAAATGTTTCAAAGCATTTGTAACAAGACTTTGCACTTTTTATATATAAACAAAATGGCAACTACCTGACAAATTGCATAATAATTATGATCACTAAGATGATGATTACAAATATCTTCGGCAGAAAATATGAAATAATTAGGATAATCAAAATGCATTGTGTTCATATGTATTTTTTGCCATTCTTTTGGTCTCTCTAAAAATCAATATTTTATAAATATGGTTTATATTTATATTTTATAAATATTTTTGTAATAAATTATTTGTCACCTTCTTGAGAAACGTTTTTATCAACAACAATTATATTCTCTAAATCGATAAATTTTGCTACGTTTTCATGATCAACAGCAATATTATCAGCTGATACATCAGTTAAATAAAAAGCAAATCTTTCATTCTTGAAAGTGAATATATAAGCAGCGTTTAAAAGGCTTGAAGCTACTTTTACTCTTTGAATCCAAGGTTTGTCATAATGATCTAAAAGTGGTAATCCGATGTATTCTTCAATAACAATTCGACCGCAAGCTCCAAAATATTTTGGCACAGGCCAATCATTTTCAGCTGATAATATCTATAAAAAAAATGTTGAGCGAATACAAAATATATAATTGTATATTGTTTATTTAAGAACAATTTAACATTATCTAAATATTATAATTTAAGAAAAAGAATTATATGTAATTTTTATGATTTCAATTTACCTGAAGAATTAATGGTTCTGGATTTATAGATATTAATGTCCACAAATTAATTAAATAGTGCTTAGGATTGATATATTTATTGTTAAGATGAACATTATAAAATAGATCATCCAAGTGTTCTATTGTTGGACAAAGCCTCAAGCGACGCATGTCATCCTCAGAAAAGTCAGATGTAATTGTCTTCTTGATAAGATCATAAAAATCTGCAGTGTATCTATCTATCGGAATGTTTGAGCAAGGATATTCCAGATATAGTTCTTTGCATAATACAATATCAAATGCTCTTAGCTCGGAAAAATGTGCCAGCTTTTTTAGTACCACTTTGTTTTGTCCATGTATTCCAAAGAATACGTTTTTAACGCCAAACAAATGAGAAATTATCGCGTTAACATCGTTCCACAAAAGATTTATTTTATGAATGTCATGGCACGCAGAAATCCCATAACACGCTGGACACTTGTGCAACTCTGTCAGTTGTGTTATGGAAGGATATAAACTTGGTAAGATAACATTTAACTTTGAAGCAAGAATATAAATACCAATCAACAATAATATCTTCCATTTTTTAAATCTGAAGATGTTACGTACATAATGTAAAATCATGAATTATATAAAATCAAGATCATAATATTTCACTTGTCTTGATTTTTATATAAAATTGTTATATTCCATATATTTCACTTTTTATTTTCTTTTGACTTCTTGGATGAAGAATGAATAGATGCCTTCAACTTTACTTCTAAACTATAGCATAAAATACTCCACCTTCTCTAGCATTGTATTTTGCAATATATATTTATAATGATTTATAAGCAATGTTGTTAAATAAATGATTCATCTTCCTGTATATACATCGAGTATTGTATCGAAGATTTAAAATTTACAAAGTAAAGTTCTGTAAGTGTTCTAAGTTACATCCAAATTTTTATCGAAATTAATAAGAATTGGCGATAAAAATATTTGAATTCATATTACATAAATATTAAACAAACTACATTGATTTATCCACTGGTAAAACTTTAGACATTTTCGTGATTATCAAAGAGGTTGTAAAAAGCTGCGAGGTAATTGAAGAGTACTGTTATTATCGACTAATATAAATTTTTGATTGTATGTAGAGAGAAGCCTGAGAGCCGTCACGTCCGTTCATTTAAAATTGAAAATGTAGATTATTTTAATAAATTATTTTTTATACAAATTCTTATTAAACTCTTTATACAAAACTTACTTTAAAAATAAAATTATTGCTATTTTTTGTTAACAATAAAAGAATGACAAAATTAATATGGACAAAAAGTTGTAGAAATAATATTCCTAAAAATTTAATATAACTAATATAAATAAATATTAAATATTAATAAATAAATATTAAAAAAACTAATAATGGAAAAATAATAGCGAGATCAATCGTTTATTTTGAAACAAGATGACAATTATGAAAGTAAGAAAATTCACTAGAGTATTTCCAACTTTATATGTCAAAAGCTAATAAATTTATTTACTTTTATTCACTTTTTTAATTTTCACCTCGTTTCAGAAATAGACTACAATTGGACTACGGTCCACTTAGTGCTATAAAAGCGTGCTATAAAATATTTCGAGCGTTTGATTAACCAATCAGAACAAAGAATTTTATGTATTGACCAATCAAAAAATGCTTCGAAGCATTTGTAGCACGAAGGGGACTGCACCCTGATAGTGCATATTAGAACACAACCTACATCCATAGTGATGATTATTAGTGCCGCCATCTGAAGTCGTGGCTGTTTATTCAACAGACTCATCATCTTTCTTCTTCCTCGCATATTGCTCGATGCTGATTATGCAAAATTATTAATATAATCCTATTCGCGTACAAATGTTAAGTGAGAATGGAACTTTGTCTTATCGAGTGATATCGTGAATAGTAGATATGATACGACACGATAACATTGCTTCGACTGTTTTTTAGTTTTTCGTACACAAATTTGCGGAAAGTTGTACTACTAATTTTTCCTTATTCCTTGTGTTTTTTCGCTATTGCTGACGAATATTGCTATTATAAGCCGCAAATGTTACGCGTTTGATCCACATGGGTCTCAACGAATTAGTGCATTGGTGAGAAATTTTGATTGCATCAATTTGTTTATATTCTTTGTCAATGACATCACTTTTTGAATGTTTAATTTTAATGATTGAATGATTTAACATTAACACGTTAGAAATTGACAATACAGAAATAACAAAAAACCTGAAAATAATACAAATGATTACTAGAATTAATGAGTACAAAGTAAATTCTTTTAGGTATCAAAAAAAGATTGGAACTTATGATAAACAACAATGGGAAAGAACCATAGAGCAACATATTCTTGACGGTCTCACCCATGTTCCAATGAGAACGACAAAACTTAAAACAGAATTGATTGATGTGGATCTTGTCCGTGGTATGCTGCAGAGATATTGATATACAGAATGTTTCAGAATTACTATCTGTCCTTTTGCTAACAGATTTTATGAAACATTCTGAAATGAGAACTTTTATATGAAAAAGTCTTAGAATATTCCAAAATCTATTATAGTATAAGAACATCTGGTGATATTGGGATATCCTGTATATAGAGTATTTTTCCTCGATAAGCGATAATGTATATTTATTTGTGATATATCAATGTATAGGATCTTCATTTCCAAAAGCCAAGCCGAAGCATGGTTTGTCAACAGTAGCTTGCCTAGCATTTCAGCGGCTCTTGCTCTTGCCATTGTATAAAAAGTGGTGGATACAGCAAACAAGTTATCGCATTTTTGTGCTTTTCTTGTTACTGTATAGTTTACAAGCAGTGAACATCTTCCTGTATTACGTTTATGCGAACAGGGAAAATGAGGCAGAAGTATGAGAAAAAGTTTGTTAATCTAGAATGTGTTGCATTGCTATCCATCTTGATTGTCATGTCTATTTACAGATTGTGTCAATGTCCGAAGTATTAGTACCTGTTGTTATGATGTTTGTTCTATGTATTGTGCATTCGCATATTGTGTCAACCCATTCAGGTCCTACTATGATGTATAATCAATCCAGACAACGAATAACAAGACGATCTCGAAATGCCAGGTGCAGAAATGGAAAAACAAGACCTAGACAGAATTTACGTAAGTAAATTTACGTAAGTAACAAACAAAAGTATAAAAAAGATGTTTATCTTCTAAATTCTTCTTTAATAATACATTAATTTTTACTAAAGGTATACATAAGGATGCAAAGTCTTCTCAAGATATGGCTTCTGAAAAAGCAAGTACAGGAAGTGAAGAAGTATTTACTGCGGTAAGATTTGCTAAGAAAGTGGTGATCCAAAATTCCTCGACTGTTAGTCAATCTCAAGTAAGTACTGATGGATTTTAAATTTATAATCTTTGTCAAATTAATGTATATAAGCATTTATAAATGTTTTATGTAATAGGAATCTGCAAGTGCTCAAGTAGTATATGACAAAGAGTTGATAAGTACTGGGGAAAATTCTGATACTGCAAATGAAAGTTCAACTAATCATGAACAGCAAGGTAAAAGAAGTGCTATTTACTCATTATATTTTGTGATTTTGACATATGGTTTTATACATTTTTCTTTATCTGTGACAGATGATATACCAGAAGAACATGTAGCAAATGTACATCAAGATGATGACGGCTTTGAAAGTTTAAATGGTAATGTTTCAAGCGATAATGACAAAGTAGTAGGTCGTGCATTGATGCAAGGAAATAAGTCACGATTAGGTGCAGCACGTCAGAATAAAGACCATATGTGGTCAGAAGACAGCACCAATCAACAAATTTCATTTGCATCACAGCATTCAGGTTTGATTTACAAGTACACGCTTGTAAAATAATTTGTAGACAGCTAAAATTTTTATAAAGTTAAAAGTAAAAAGTCTCTTTATTTGTTAGATACGCTGTGCATATGTATGCTACAATAAATATCTAATTTTTTAAATATATTTAGTTTTTTATAACACTGCAAAAGTAACATCTTTTTTTCATTGTTTTTATATTGGGTTTGGCATTCCGAACCGCTAACACGCTTTAATCTTTGTTGGAAAGGTAAAAAATGGAGTAATAGCTAAATCATCGTTTTCCACTTTCCACGCAGCACCTGACCCATTAAAAAATGACGACAATTTTATGGATAGCAAAATTCACGACAATATTCACGGCAGTATTAAGGTACTATCATTTATAAATTTTGTTTATTTTTTTTTTTTAAATCTAGCTCAAGATTTTTTGCAATTTATTTTATAATTACGCTTCTCTCTCTCTCTCTCTCT